GTTTATGGCACACCTATGGGTTCCCCGTTATCGCCAATAATTGCTAATATTGTTATGCAAGATCTTGAAGAATCAATAATTAATGAATTGGACATTGGTATTGGAATATATTATAGATATGTAGACGACATTATTATGGTGGCACCAAAGAATAAAATTGATAGTGTACTGAATAAGTTTAATAGTTACAATCAACGACTACAATTTACGATTGAATACGAAATTAATAGAAGCATAAATTTTCTAGATTTAAACATTAAAATAATAAATAACGTCATACACTTAGATTGGTTTCAAAAAAAGACATGTTCAGGTAGAGTACTATCTTTTTTATCGAGTCACCCTATGTGCCATAAAATAGGAGTAATTTATAATCTTATTAATAGGGCATTGTTATTATCTCATCCCATATATCATAAGAAAAATTTAGAACTGTGTATTAAAATATTATTGGACAACGGTTACCCTATTCATTTAATCTTTAAAGAAATAAATAAGAGAATAAGAGTTTTAAACAATGGACAGTTTAACAACAATAGAAAAAAAGAAATTGCAGAAGATAATAGCAAGAAAAAATTTTTTGTCATTCCATACATTAATAACATTTCTGAGACAATAGCATCGACAATAAAAAAATCAGATTTCAGAGTAGGATACCGTTGTCTAAATAATCTTAACAAATTTATTAAAGTCCACAAGGACAAAAACGTGCATAACAATAATAATAATGTTGTCTACAAAATTAATTGTAAGGATTGTGAAGCTTCGTATGTTGGGCAAACCAAAAGAAAATTACGCACTAGACTAAAAGAGCATATGAATAATATTAAATTTGATTCCTCCAAGCATTCTGTGGTCTCTGAACATATTATAGATAAAAAACATGCTTTTGATTGGGATAACGTTAAAATACTTGATATTGAATCTAATTATTATAAAAGACTTATCTCGGAAATGATACACATCAAGGAACAAAGGCATGGTATAAATAATAACACAGACACCGAATTGCTTAACAACGCGTATTTCGACATTCTAGAAGAAATATCGAATTTTTAGACTTATGTAAATGTTTATTTTGTGAGATCTGACACCTATTTATTCGACTTTTTAAAAGACTAGACAACAGTCAAGTACTAACAATAAGGCCAACAACAATTAGAAGCATCGTCATCTCAAGTTATTCGGAACAATTTGTAAGCATAAAGGTTCAATATTTTAGTATTTAGTTTAATTTGTAATTTTTAATCTTTTTTTACATACACATTAGTGGAATCCTATTTTACAATTGAATAAATTTTCTAAATTCAGTTAACAAATATCAAATAATTTGGAGAGGATGGACATAATCATTGCCAGATCGAGGGACTTTCGTCAAATAACGATAAGTGGTTCGTTTGGAGCAATGTATAAGTGTCACTCCGAGTTTTTATTAATAATTCTAAAATATTTTATGAATAACCGGACGAATCATTCTGCTTCTAATTGGGTTCTTACTTTGTTGAACTATTTTAATGGTTTCAATTCATTGTAAATATATTTTGCGTTTTAACTATGACTTAACTATATAACTTATATTGACTATGTATTGCGGATTTTTTATTAGAATTTTATGTATGTATTTATTTATTATCGTTATTTATTATCATTATTTTTTTTTTGCGCACTGAAGAGGAGCAAGTAGAGCTCGAAACGTTTGTGTAATTATTATTTCAAATTAAGAATTTTCTTCTAAATAATAAAATAATATCGTATTGCTCGTTACACATGGCCTTAATTTAATAATTTATCATTGTTTTTATTGTCATACGAGCTTGAACATTGGTATGTGATGGTTTGATTAGGTATTAATTTTGCATAGAATCATTAGAACAAAATCGATTTAATTCAAACTCAAGTGGCAGAAATGAAGTGAACATATCTTCTACAGCTACTTTAAGTGAACAGTCTTTTACAGATATAAATTCAGCACATCTAAGGTACATATTTTCACAAGCATTTTATTTGTAGCATTTTTCATGTTGTAAAAATTTTGTTTTGTTTGAAAAAATTTATAATTTTTAGAGACTCAACTTCACTTTTATACAAATCAAGCGACGCGGTAGCCTCACCATACCAGTCTGATGCTTCTTCAGTCTCAGTATTAAGTGCCTGTGATTATGCGACAAAGAAAGGTTTAAATAGTAAAATTAAATCAAAAGGAAAATCGCAGCCGGATGTTGCAAATGCAATTTCCAAAGTCACATCTTTGCTAGAGAATAAATACTCTTCACCTGTTTCAACTGTTTCGTCATCTTTAAAACCGGAAGTAGAAGAAGATGTGGCTTTCTGTCAATTAATACTTTCTTCACTTACAAAGATTCAGGGGTGTAAAAAAGAAAAAAAGAAGGATATATTGCGCATTATATACGATATTTAAAATAATCGAAGTTCTTAAAAGACTGATACAATTCTGAGAACTGCCTTGTGAGAATTGTGTCATATTTCTGTTTTTGATTTTAATTTTTTGTTTTGTTCAGAGTTTCAATAATATAAAATGTATTAACGTAAATCTATTTAAGTTAATTTATCAGTTTAATTTTTAACTTGTTTATTATTTAAAGTTCAGAGTTTAAATATAAATAACTTCGAAAATTATTTAAAAACTTAGAAAAATTCGAAAGTTAAAAAATATTATATTAAAATAATATAAAATATACATTAATAGAAATAATATCTGTTTAGGATTGAGAAAAATTTGCCGCGCTCGATCGAACGAAAATTCACGGATCAGTCGAGAATTTAAGTAAAAGCAATTGCCGCGGGCCTAACACGGCAGCACCTCGCGGCACGCACCGCGGGAAGCGCCGCGGAAGCAAATTTTCGGCCAATTAGCGCGTTCCGCGTGTACCCCTCACGATCAGGCAGTCGATAGCGTGATCGATGAGGGTAGCATTCCGTCGGGGACAGTCGTCGCGGAGAGAGAGCCGGCGTTGGTCGCAAGTCAGACCAAAGAATTCGCGTTACGGTGTAATAAGTGCGTGAATGTATTATCGCGACAAATACGAACAGATTTGCGCGGTATTGTGTGACATATCGAGAGTGAAGAGTTAACGGGTAATCGGATCTCGTTCGCGACGCAACATACACGTTCTCGCGACGAATTCGCCATTGTCTCGTGCATGCTACGTGCACGTGATCGAACATTACGAGTATTCGGATCCTGCTGGAGGATTCACTGCGATATTCGCGTATCGGTGAATGCATGTCGTGCATTCTCTCTCTCGCTCGTCTCTCTCTCTCTCTCTCTCTCTCTCTCTCTCTCTCTCTCTCTCTCTCTCTCTCTCTCTCTCCCGCGCTCTCTCTCACAATTGTCGTAGTACGCCGTCGCGACGAACTCGCCGTCGTATTGTGCACGCTGCGTACACGTGATCGACTCCTGCGAATATTCGAATCCTTCTGGAGGATTCTGTGTGATAGTTAATTGCATATAAATGCACGTGATCGAACATTACGAATATTCGGATCCTGCTGGAGGATTGAATGTCACATAATTGAAGACAATTATTAAGTCGCGTCAAATCATATGTGCGCGTGTTCGATAAATTATAACGGTCGTCCACAAGAGGACAAATTTGTTGTTGTACGATTCGCGATCGTGACTTTCAAATAAGACATTGTTTTCTCTTGCGACAAAAAACATTGGTGTCGATATCGAACAAACAGTTTTTTCTTTTGTGATCGCGAGCTTCGAAACGTGTACAGCAAACGCTTTCGATTCTCATATCGAGTTTTTGTTCTTTTTTCTTTGATTTGTTTGTGTCAAGTCCAGGTGACTTTCTGACATGTGAAATAATAAATTGATCTGTTTTTGTTCATCAACTTCAAGACTTCTTTTCAATTCGGCTTCCTACGTAAATCATCAATCTCAGCGCACACATGGGTGCGCGATCACCCTATTAAGATACAGTCCACTCAACAATTATCCTATTGTCCATCCATCACATCTCTCATGAGATTCCTATGATTTCTTTCCAATAAAAAAAAAACGGGTGAAGGATTTGAGAGGCGGCGCGCGAGACGCGGCCCTAAAGAGGCCGAGCATGCTCGTTCGTCGCAGCTTCGCGTCGGACCACGGTTCAAGCCGCGCGTTCGCAACAATATCAATTAAGTTTTAATTTCTTTAGTAATATAAGAATAATATGAAATGTGTCGGAGCAGAAACATAAGCAACATAGATTATATTCTGGACGGGTTCGTACTCCGGCGTAATATTATTAATATGTCGAGACGCAAATGTCGATTGTGCAACGTCTTTTTTTTAATTATTCAAAACTAGTAAGTAAGTGTTTAAAACTTGAGAGATGTAGAAAGTGCACTTTAATGTTATAAGTTAAAAGTGAGGAGATATGCAATAATAGATAAATCATTTTATTACGTTGATTTTTTATTAAACAGTGAGTTTAAATATGTAACACTAATAATGAATACGCAAACAGCTAACCTGTAATTAAACATTTTTTTATTTTCTGGATGAAGGTGGCAGCATAATATTATTTATTTATTATTAGTTTGGAAAATCGCTATCTCCAAGAAACAAACACAATAATTTAGTGTTGCTTTTAGGAAGATTTATAAAACCTTCAGAAAGATTTAATGTTCCTTCTTGCAGTGCCAATGAATATCAGAAGTGATAAAAGTATCACTACTATTACTATTACGTATACGTAAATAACATTAAAATGTTTTATATTTTTTTAGAGACTGCGAGTATATGTAATGTATGTATGTACTTACTGTGATGTATTATTATATGACACAAATTAATGTTTTTACTTTTATTTATGAAGCTTACATAGTTTATTTTTTGTACATGCATGTTTACATAATTATGTAATTTAATAATATAAAATTTATTAACATAAATAATATCAATTTCAGTTTTTTGTTTAAAGTTTTTTAGAGTTTAAAATTTAAATGTAATAAAGTATATCAATATAAAATAAAATATAATTGGTATTAAAATAAAAATATAATTTGTATTGAATATTTTATCATGGATCATCGTGATGCAGCCCTCTTCTAATATACTGATATTGCCATGGAACTTCACCTTGTGGCGTTAAAAAATAATCAGCCAATGTATCTCTTTGTCTATATGCAACTGCAGTTGCATTATGCGTTGAAGTAGGAGGGATGTCTTTAAATACATTTTGAGTATATCGCCGCCACTCTCCAGGAATAACGTTACCTGTTGCATCTTCCGAATCAATAAAATTAGGAGGACAATATATTTTATTCTCCGTTTGCATAAGATCTTCCTCAAACTTTATATAATTATGTAAACATATTGTCGCCATGACAATTTTATCTATATATTTAGGGTGCATATTAATCGGTTTTCGATAAATTCTCCACCGTAAAGATAAGATGCCAAAAGTGTTTTCTATTGTACGTCTGGCTCTAGACAATCTGTAATTCAATAAAACGCTTGATAAGCATACATATATGTATATATATCTTATATAATAACGCTAATAATAAATACGCAAACTAACCTGTAATTAAATATTTTTTTTCTTTCATCATGTAATTTTCCAGCGTAAGGTCGCATCATAATACTACTGATGGGAAAACCGCTATCTCCGAGAAAAAAGCATGGCAATTTAACGTTGCTTCCAGGAAGATTTGCGAATCCTTTAGGAAGATTTAATGTTTCTTCTTGCAGTGCCGAATGAATATCAGAAGAAGTAAAAATTCCACCATCGCTATTACCATCATACGAACCTACATCGACTAATGTGAATCTATATCTGTGATCACATGCAGCCATCAATACAATACTAAATGTCTTTTTATAGTTAAAAAATAAGCTTCCAGAATTTGGCGGAGCTTGTATTTCCACGTGTTTCCCATCAAATGATCCAACACAATGAGGAAAATTCCAATTTTCCAGAAAACCAGTGCAAATATTTTTCCATTCTTCTTCTCTTGGTAGACGAAGGTAAATTGGTTGCAATATTTTTACTATTACTGAACAAGTTTCATGAATAATTTTTCGGACTGTTGACTCTCCACATCTAAAAGCTAGGGCAATAGACAATATTTGATCCCCAGTTGCTAAATATCTGCAAAAATGTCTTGATATGTATATAAAACAATATTACCAAATAAAATATTTGCAAAAGTAAATTTACTAGACATGTTTATTTTATTTTTTTATTTAACAGTATATGATAAAAAAGTAATTAAGTACCTCAGAGTTATGATCAATCGTTGTTCTGGACTAAAAGCTCTTTTGCTCAATTTAGTTAAAAAAGGCTTTGTCATTTGTAATAAATGATTAAACGTTTCTTTCCTCATTCTTGCATATCGAAAAAATACATCGATATCATTATATTTCAATTCGTTAAAGAGATGTTCAAAGTCCCCATACAGAGGACGTGCAACGTTGATGGGTCTCACCCACCATCTCCTATTTAACCATCTCTTTTTTCGATTCCTTTCTTCTAATAACAGCAATAAGCACAATTGTAAAAAAGATAAAATAAGAAAATCTTCTTCCATGTAATTCACATCCATGATGTCTTATGTCCAATTATGTAGAAGTTGAACATCTAAAAATACAAAAATATGTAACCTTACACGTAGACATAAAATAAGAAAAATAATTACTAATAATAAATTAAATCAATGATATTAATAACTTTACAATTGATTAAACTTTTACCATTATTGAAAGGATATCTAGACTTAATCTTCCAGGCTCTTCTTAAACTAACTTAAACACTGGTACTACTGATCCAATTATTCTTGGAATATAGTTGCACAAAAGAATTTGAAGAAGAAATTTGTAAATTATTGTCTTCAATAGAGATTTATGAAACTCATCCACTATAATTACATTTATATGACACGCGCGTGGTGATGACACTGTCTTGAATTATCTTTTAATATAATTTTTATCCTAAACTTTTGATGTTTCACTTCACCTAGATATAAAATAAGAAAAAATAATTAATATTCATTCAATAATATTATTTATGTCTTTTAATTTGATAAAATTTACCGTATATCAATTTTATGTGATTGCGAGAGTGTAGCATTCGATGGTCAACTATATGGTTAGAATATTATAAAGTCTTATGCACAAGTTTGTGCGTTGACGAACGTTACGTTATGCTCCCTGCTTTATGCCTTATGCAAAAGTCTGTGCTCCCGCCTTAAAGCTTATCTTAAAGTCATGTACAACTGACTTGAAAACATAACCTTACTTTCTAATAAACACGATCTTATTTGATTCAAATAAGACCATCAAGATTTGATTATGAATCCGACTAAACTTAAGAAGAGAAAAGCATCTTAAAAGACTTTGTACTTAAGACAGTCTTAAATATAAGAACGGACTATGAAATACCGTCCTTTATTTTGAAAAATAAGAATTTAAATTTAAAAAGAGTTAGCTAAAATCTTTACTTTCGAAAAAATCACAGTTGTTTTCCGACATATTTGTTGACCCAAAATGTCTCCAAGTAATTTTATAATAAAATACTGCTATTGAGTGTCCGATAATAATTTAATGACACTCATTGGTCGTATACATGTATACGTATATATTCACAAATATGTTTTAGGCAGTGCAGCGCGTGGCCTTATATCCTCACTCAGCGGAATTCTAACTGCGAGAAAAGACGCCGCGTAGCGGCGAAGGCACGAATGAGTGCACGACTTTACGGACGGTTTTCCGCGAGCGCTTTCGCGCGCAGTCTTGTCTGGCGGTGTAGCATATGTTACAAGCGTTTTACTATGAAAATATAATTGTGAAAATATATATACGGATTGCTTTTTACCTAAAATTAGACCAGACCGGATTTCACATTGGATAAAAGAATATAAGTGAATGTTTAGATATCAATTTGGAAGCCTAGTAAACGAGAGTAGTTCATTCTACATTTGCATGTGTACACGAAAATGTAGGATGAATTATTCTCATTTACTTTATAATCTCATTGCTTTATAATCATTACTATATTTGCAAAATATAATTTATATATATAAATTATATTATAGAAATATATGTATTTATATTAAATTTTTTATTTGCTATTATACTTAAGTAATAACTCACTTAATAAAGTAATAACAAATAAAAAAATGTATAATTTAATTTTATTATTATTCGACACATTTGGATAAAAAATGAGAAATTCTAGAACAAAGGAACATTTTTTACTTACAGACAAGTGACGCAGTTTACTAAACTTATATTTTATTAACGCTCGTATTTTCATTTTCTGATAATAATTCTTTCTAATTTGATAATAGATTTGTAATTAGCAGAGAAGTGCGTATATAAGTACAAATATGTTAGAAGAAAATCTGCTCGAAATTCACAGTACAAATACTCTTCTTTCTTCTGCAAGCAAAGGAAATGTTATCACTTTATCTTCTTATTTATACTTCACATTTTACATGGTAATTTTTTAAATCAAGAATTTAATATATTTGATAAATTAACAAATGTTGTTTGTAAACAAATCAATTATAAATTTCCAAAAAGTTATTGCATGTTTAGTTCAAACTCGAACATATAAAATTACGGAATATTAAAAAAGATATATTGAGATAAATAATTATAATATAATAAGAAAATATATAAATTAAGTAACAAAAAGCAAAAATTATAAATAGTGTAAAGTTTAATAATTTTAGTTTAATATTTTAATAGTTTAATCATTTATATATATAATTTTAATAGTATATAATTAGTATATTATATGTATATACATATATACATATATGTAGTATAATTAAAATAATTTATATAATAAGTGTAGTAATTTAATAATTTATTGTTAATTATTTTGTAAATATTGTTACGTCCGCGACCACCCTTCTGATTATCTCGAAGAAATGTCGCGCGCACTCAAACTCTCACACGCCGGAAATGAATACACTCGCGTAGTAAAGCAATAAACTTTAATATTAGAAGCCAATAAACCGTAGCGATACAATATAATATTACGTGCATTAATCCTAATGCAAATATATCCGCCGATCAGCTGTCAGAGGATACGTCCTCACCGCACGACAGCTAGACCAGAACAAAACGCATCGATAGACATAAACAGCTTTTTAGCGACGATAGAAGATCCTGATAGAAGACCCTGATAGAAGACCCTGATAGAAGATCCTAATAGAAAATCCTGACGATCGTATAATACAGGGATGTATCGTCAAACCGGGCGGGACACGGACATAACACTTGCCCCCTCCTCTTCAAAATTGTCGTCCCGACAATTAATTCAATAGGACAGATCCAGAACAATTCCTTACAGGAACCTCGCCGAATTACAGTCCCCGATGTGACTCCATGTTCTCCCCGAACTGCTGTTCCAGGTACAACGAACTGCACACCATCTTGGGTCCAATCGACTTCATTGATTCCAGGAATTTTCCTCAAAGTCCCAAAAATTCTTCAGGCAAGAGAGGGGTAACATTCCGTGGACCCAACGCCCTTTTAAAGGACTTCTCAAGCCTCTGCCTCGGCATTTGCCCAAAGCCCCCGGGAAAAAACCACGGATCAAAATAACCACGGGGTGAGGCAGTCTTCGTCCCTTTTTTGTGAGGTAGTCTTCATCCCTTTTATCTCTCTCATCTTCATCAGGTCCTTTTTCTTTTTGTTGCCAAATAAGATTTTCCTGAAAAACAAATCTTACGGCAGAAAAATTGAAGAATACACAATTTTATTAAAAGTACAAGTAACCTATCGTGGGTTCCGATTCTAATGCAAGTTTCGACTATAAAAAGGAGCTAATCTATCCGAATGCACAATTTTCCTTTCAGAAATCTCTCACTAAGAATAGAAACATCGGAACTATTTTAAATCGACAAATTCTTCCGTCCAAATTTCCCTTATAATAAAAATTATTTCTAGTTTTACTTATTCTAGCACATTGTGAGCTTATATCCGAGCTCAAAATTATTGTGTAAAACATTGTTCGATTCGCTATTTCTACGTGTGGTGTTGTTCGGAATTCTATTATGTATGTGACTTAGCTGGTTATTTTCCGATGAGGCGAGTCTTTCCTGTAATCGGTGCAGTTCCTCGTCCCGCTGTTGCAGCATCGTCAAAAATTGAGCCTGCTGTTGTGAGCGTTCCTCTCGCAATTCTCTAATTTGTTCCAACGCCTCCTGTAAAGCGTCCACGCGCTCGGGAGTTTCCTCGCTGTTAATCGCTCGAAGTGGAGTCGACTGTTGTTCTTCGCCGATCATTGCTCGTGACGAAGCTTGCGAACGAGTAATCCTCGGAGAATGCACCAAAGACATCGTAACCTTTTCACCGCACACACACACGAAATATTTGTCCTTTTTTTACTACGGTTCGTGGCTCGTGTTATGTCCGAACGATCCCGGACGAGCCCCCAAAATGTTACGTCCGCGACCACCCTTCTGATTATCTCGAAGAAATGTCGCGCGCACTCAAACTCTCACACGCCGGAAATGAATACACTCGCGTAGTAAAGCAATAAACTTTAATATTAGAAGCCAATAAACCGTAGCGATACAATATAATATTACGTGCATTAATCCTAATGCAAATATATCCGCCGATCAGCTGTCAGAGGATACGTCCTCACCGCACGACAGCTAGACCAGAACAAAACGCATCGATAGACATAAACAGCTTCTTAGCGACGATAGAAGATCCTGATAGAAGACCCTGATAGAAGACCCTGATAGAAGATCCTAATAGAAAATCCTGACGATCGTATAATACAGGGATGTATCGTCAAACCGGGCGGGACACGGACATAACAATATATATACATATATCTATATATATAAGCACCGTCTGTCTGTATGTATGTACGCGAACTACTTCCGCATTTGTGGACCGATATTCGTGAAACTGGTACCAAAATGTTGCAAATTTTTGGGGGTGGCTGCTGTGGGGTTTTTTTTTTTTTTTTTTTTTTTTTTTTTTTTCTACAGAGGAGGGTATGTTTAATCTTTTTTTGCAATATTTCTGAACACATGGTATCAAAATGTTGCAAATTTTTTTGGAGATAACGACGATGCGGTTTTTTTAAGTGTTACACCCCCACCCACGCACCCACCCACGCATCCACCCACGCGCATGCGCATTTATGGACCAATTTTCACGAAATTAGTACCAAAATGTTGCAAATTTTTTTGAGAAAACTACTGGTTTATTTTTTTAAGTTTACCCCTCCACCCACGCACCCACCCACGCAATCGTATATTTATGAACCGATTTTTTTTAAATTGGTACCTCTTCCGGCTCTTGCCCATCGAGCTTTCTGTTTTACTGCAAAAAATGATTATATTACATAATATTTATTTATAATATTATATTATTATAATATAAGAGAGAGAGAGAGAGAGAGAGAGAGAGAGAGAGAGAGAGAGAGAGAGGGAGAGAGAGGGATTAATTTAATCTATATATATAAGCACCGTCCGTCTGTCTGTCTGTCTGTCTGTGCCCGAACTACTTCCGCATTTGTGGACCGATTGTCTCGAAATTGGTACCAAAATGTTGCAAATTTTTCGGGGGTGGCTGCTGTGGGTTTTTTTTTTTTTTTTATTTTTATTTTTTTTCTTCAGAGGAGGGTATGTTTTTGCGAAAAAAATTTTTTTTGCAATATTTCTGAACACATGGTATCAAAATGTTGCAAAATTTTTGGAGATAGCGACGATGCGGTTTTTTTAAGTGTAACACCTCCACCCACGCATCCACCCACGCATCCACCCACACGCATGCGCATTTATGGACCAATTTTCACGAAATTAGTACCAAAATGTTGCAAATTTTTCTGAGGAAACTGGTGTTTTATTTTTTTAAGTTTACGCCTCCACCCACGCAATCATCCACGCGCGTGCGCATTTATGGACCAATATTTTTACGAAATTGGTACAAAAATGTTGCAAATTTTTTGGAGATGGCGACGATGCGGTTTTTTCAAGTGTTACACCTCCACCCACGCACCCACCCACGCGCATGCGCATTTATGACCAATTTTCACGAAATTAGTACCAAAATGTTGCAAATTTTTCTGACAAAGCTGGTGTTTTATTTTTTTAAGTTTACGCCTCCACCCACGCACCCACCCACGCAATCGTATATTTATAAACCGATTTTTTTAAAATTGGTACCAAAATGTTGCAAATTTTTTGAAGATGGCGACGATGTGGTTTTTTCAATTGTTACACCTCCACCCACGCATTCATCCACGCGCGTGCGCATTTATGGACCAATATTTTTACGAAATTGGTACAAAAATGTTGCAAATTTTTTTGAGAAAGCTGCTGTGTGGTTTTTTAAAGTTTTATCCCACCCACGCATTCACCCACGCATTCACACATTTATTCACAGACTTTTTCGAAATTTGTACTCAAATTTTGTTGAGGATGGCTACTATGATTTTAACAAATTTTTATCATCCTATTCATCCACCCACGCACCCATGCACCCATGTGCATACGCATTTATTGACTTGGTCACACCAATAAGTAATTTTAAATAAATTTGTGTACATGTTTGTGATTGCAAAAATTT